TTCAGGTTTTGCCCCCCTACCAAAGTGGCAGTGAAGTGTGTAGGGGGTGGTTGCTCAAGTGGCAAAGCATGTCTGATTTGAAAAAAGCAAACAGTTGGGGCCATCTGATCAAGTCATGCTCCTGTACACATTTAATCGATTGTGTCTGCCAAAAGAGATCTTGCACAAGCAAATCTGGCTTCATGTAACAGGGACATTTTTGTGTGCATTCAAGCTGGCTTCAACTTCTTGATAATGTGGTCCCTGGAAGCAGTGTTAATGTACTTGTTATATCCCTGGCTGCTGGACTCACCTTACTATCAAAGTATTCACGCTTGGCAGTTTGGTATGTAGCTCTAGGTTTTATTGATTTTGTCTGCACTAAACTCTTTTACCAGCATATGCTCTGACAGGGAGTCTCCTTTGGCTGTTCCAAAGTGCTGGTGAGGAAAGGAGGTAATTCGCAGGACACTGCAGTGCTAGACAAGCCTGAGACTGTTTCATTCTCTTCCCGCTTTAAGTGTCTATTTCCTTGACTGTACTTCAGTTCACTTATTTGCAGCTACAGTTTGTAGGGTTTTATTTTCTAAGTCATAAAAAAAAGCTTTCTCTGTGTGTGATCAGTTAGCCGACAGACAGAAGATTCTCTCTTAATTTAAAAATATATGCTATTATTATATAGCTTGTTTGCTTATGGTAACTTATTGTCGTAGATATGCTTTCTGATTTATAGGGAAAGGAGTAGAAGCCAAAAGGACTGAAATCTTTCAGCTGAGGTGTTGGGGAGGATTATCAGGGCACAGACTATCTGAGGTGGCTATACAAGATATTAAATGGGAAATAGTAAAGCAAATGTTGTAAGGTGGGTTTTGTACATATGAACAACCATGAAACATTTAGTCTGGGATATTGTACAGCTGGTCACGTCACCTCAGGAAGCTGTGGGGAGGTGGGGATGGGGATGACCTCTGGAGTGAGAGGGAAGAGCTTGAGCTGGCTTGTGTTACACAGGAACCTGTACGAACGCAAGGCAAAAGTATATACTATAAAAAATGCTTGAGTGATAGTTTTGCTTGTGCTTTCTCTCAGTATAAGAACAAGAGTCCAACTGATGAAACTTAAGAGCTGTGAAATATAAAATTGTTGGAAGGAAACAATTATGACTGCAGGTCCTGAGAAGCTCAAGGAGCTGGCTGTCAGAGGCACAGCCAGGTACGGCAGTGCCATTGTCCTGCTCCCTTGGCACCCACACTGCCGGCATGGGGCCTGCCCCAGCGCCAGGCAGCAGCTCCCACGGGATGCAACAACGGCTTGGGGAGGAGGCCAGCTCTCTCTGCAGGCTCTCCCTGCTGGGTAGTGCAAACGCAATCAGGTCACTTGGCCCTGTGAAGCTGAGCCAGAGCTCCAGCACAGCTATGAAAAGCAGCGATGGACACAGCTATGGAAACCCTCGTGGTTAGGGGGGCACCGCAGAAGGAGAGAAATATTTACATACATGACAAGAAACTCCAGCTGTGCTTGTAAATATTAAAGTGAGAACAGTAAGTCAGCCAGAGCTTTGGAATGGACTTGAGTTTTCAAGTTTTCAGGACATAAGGCAATCTCCTATTGTCAGAGCAAAGAGGAAATTGCCCATTTTTATTCCACTGTTGGTTTCACCAGGGTTTCTTACCCCAGATGACTCCTACTGGCTGCTGCCAGTGACAAGATAGGGGAGCAGAAGGAACGCTGCTCAGAGACAGTGTGACAGTTCCTCTCTTCCCGTATCAATGTGGTAGGGGAGAAGGGAAGTACTTCTGCAGAGAAAGGAAACCAACATGAATTTCTCTGGAGAGGAAAAGAACACTAGAGGAATTCAGGATCACACAGGAAAAAGTGATGTAAGCGAAAAAATAGGAAGTAAAAACAACACACAAAAAATACCCTACAACCAAAAAAAGCACCAAAAATTGGCTGGGATCCTTTTCAGGAAATCACTGTAAAGCTGAGTAACTTTGTCACACACAGAAATACAAATCAAGGGATAACACAAAAGATGTCAGAGAATCTCTGATAAAATCCTCTGTAATCTATGGCAGACTCAAAAACTAGCAGCTCTGCCATGCTGACCCTACATATGGAGATGGCAAGGAGACACAATGAGAAGTCACTTTGATTATGAGTTGAAATGTGGTCTGGAACATGCCAGGCATTGCTTAGGGTTATAGCAAAACCTTATTTCTTCTCGAATGAAGCCTAAAGTGGCAAATCCTGCAGCTGTCCCTCTGTTGGAGTAACCCAGGGAAGACATTCTGCCTTTCAGTTATCTTTCTACCTCCTGTCTTGTCAGGGTGATTGTTTTGCTACAGTACTTTGGTATGTGTATGATGCTAGGTGTCCTCCACCAGGTCTGGAAACTTGGCAGAATGCAACGTCAGGATTTTCTCTATCTGTTCAGGGCTCTTGGTCACAGAGCAACTCATTTAAGGCAAGAGCAGAGGCAGGGGCAAGAAATCTTATGAGGCCGTTGTGTGGTTCGAAACTGTAGACGGGGCTGGTGCTGCAGAGGAACTGTACAGTGCATACATAGCAAGCCTGGCATATCAAGGGAGCATCAGCTCCACAACACCTGTGGAGCAGAGCTGCTCTGCACAGCATGTCCAATGCATCCTACACATTAGATTTATTGTACACATGTTGACCATCTGTGCAGAAGATGATGATTCTTGGACGCAGTGGGAGCTGAGCGCCCGTGCACCCCGCACCTCCACATGTCTCATGCCATGGACTGTCCCTAGTGCATGCCAGGTAACCCTGCCCTCCACAGAGCCAGCCAGCCTTGTCTCGGTCCCACCAGCTCAACCCCACCAGCTGGAGCCCCGAGGAGGGAAGGTGGAGCCTTGGCCGTCTCCATCCTCGCACCCTGCCAGAGAAGGAGGAGCCGTCAGCCCTGGGGAGTGTGCTCCCAGGAGCAGGCGTCCAGGTAGGCTGAGCAGGGGCATGGGACGGGGACCTGTCCCCTGCACTGTACTTGAGATGCCACTTACCGCCTGGCCTAGCAATCTGTGGCAGGGAAACTTGTTCTGATAATGAAATGTTTGTGACTGGAAGTAATGGCTAAGGGGAAGTGCGCTTGAGAGGAAAAGGCGTACTGATTTCAGGATAGCTTTTTGCACAAGTTTTAGAGCCATGGCTTACCCAAGGTGAGGCTCGGTGTGGAGACTGGAGCCTCTTCACTTAAACGGTATGCATTTTCCTAAAAAGTTTCCCATTAGAGGTTGCATGTATTTACTGCACACTGACAGTAGTGCTTGATTTTGAGTTTGCCTAAAGAGCAGTTGCATGTATGCTCCTTCCTACCCCTACCCCTCCCACCCCCCCATTTCCTCCCGTTGTTCTTTTTCAGATCACTTGAAGGTTTTTTCCTGTTTATTATCCGGACATGCTGCGCAATGTGTGTGTTGATTTGACTGTCACATAAGGAATCTCCTACTGGGATCACTGATGCATTCCTTATATGTATATATGTATATGTGTATGTGTGTTATGTGTGTATATATAAATGTGCCTGTGTGTATGTGTATATGTATATGTACATGTATATGTGTATATATATGGTAATGGCTCCTAGATGATGGAAAAGCAATGTTAGTGATTAAACTAAAATTGGAATGAGCTACAGGTGTTAATGGGACTTAAGTTTAATTACCCTTTCCCAGAAAACCTGCATCACTGTGATAGGTACAGTCATAAACAAAAACTCTCTTTAATTGACATAACAGGAAAGGTACTTTAGTGAGCAATCATGCTGATGTCCTGGGCTGGCACATGTGTGTACCACAAATATATCTTGTATTTCCTGCAAATTTCTTTTAAGTAGCTATAAGGAAGACATTCTTTTTTTATTATATTTTTTGGTGGTTCATGAAAACGAATCACTTACTTAAGCCTCTTTTTGAGGAAAACAATGGAACAAAACAATGCTTTTTGTATGACCTGCCAAAGCACAAAGGATGCATGGGATGTTTTTTTTCTTTGTTGTTTTTTTCATCAGGAAGTTTTGTTGTTGGAAACGACTATAACGTGCACTGTCCTTGCTCTATGTAATCACTGTCTAGTCCTGCAAGCCGGGTCTTGTTACTTGCCTCATCAAACTGGCACAGGCAACATTCTGCTTCTCTCTGTGGGCTTTGTTCAGTCCTGGATGTCTGCACACTTAATCTCCATCCAGACTGAAGTGGGATGCACAGTAAACAAACTTCAAAAGTCGGGTGGTCCAATGATTGCTGGGTGTGCACAGGTTAGGGCCCACTGCAAGAATTCTGATTTTGGGAATTGCCTCCTTTTTAACTTGGACTGCTTGAAATTGGAGTGCTATATAATATGAACAGCCTTGAAGTGTTTTCAGGTGCAAAAATTTCTTTCCAAAATTCTACTTTGATGTGTTCAGGTCTGCTTTGTTTCCCTGTAGGTTAGTTGCAGGTTTGTAACAAAGAGCCAGATCTGATTGACTAAATCATTTGTGGAAGTTAATTGTTCACAGTGAAAACTGGTCTGGCTCATTCTGCCTCTGCCGCAGGAAGAGACAGAGGTGGTGCACTGGATCTGCGTTCTAAACCAAGCATTGAAGCTACTTTAATTTTAATCAGATGTCTCTCTTCAGGGCATTAAAGAAAACCTATGCAGTGGTCAAAAAGAGCCTCTTCTCTATAGAAACGTAAGACAAAAATTTAATGACATGCTTTATAGAAATAAATTAGTAATATATAATTTCAGCTTAATCGAATTTCTTTTGCAGGCTATGATAAGAGAAACCTACTTCTCCATATCTAGCCATCGTCAGAATCAAAGAATGATTTTTTTCAGGGAAATAGAATATCGAATTATTTCTAATGTCAGATATTGTATGATGTTAACTTTATATGATGCTATGTTTAGATTATGTTTGTACCTTTTATCCATCATCATTTTCTAATGTTTTTCAAAATCAGTTATGTGCTTTTATTTCATTAAGTAACAATCTTCTTTTATTCTCTCCTTAGGACTGAAGCACTAAGAATGGAAGCCACACAGATTAATATGTCACGTGTCCCGCTGGTTAATGGAGGCATCAACACTGCGCTCAAGGCACACAGACCACGTGTGATGTCCAAAAGTGGTCACAGCAATGTGCGGATAGACAAAGTCGATGGCATTTACTTACTTTACCTTCAAGATTTGTGGACTACAGTTATAGACATGAAGTGGAGGTACAAACTCACCTTATTTGCTGCTACTTTTGTCATGACCTGGTTCCTCTTTGGAGTTATCTACTATGCCATTGCATTTCTTCATGGAGATTTGGAAATAAACAAGTTCACCCCAAAGCGCGAGCCATGCGTCAAGAACGTGGACTCTCTGACAGGGGCATTCCTCTTCTCCTTGGAGTCACAGACGACCATCGGTTATGGGTTTCGTTTCATTACAGAGGAGTGTCCTCATGCCATTTTCTTACTTGTGGCCCAACTGGTCATCACCACCTTGATTGAAATCTTCATCACAGGTACCTTTCTGGCCAAAATTGCAAGACCTAAAAAAAGGGCGGAGACTATTAAGTTCAGCCATTGTGCTGTCATTACTAAACACAACGGAGAACTTTGTTTAGTGATCAGAGTAGCAAATATGAGGAAGAGCCTTCTGATACAGTGTCAGCTGTCTGGGAAGCTTCTTCAGACATATGAAACTAAAGAAGGGGAGAGGATCTTGCTGAACCAAGCCAGCGTCAAGTTCAATGTTGACTCCTCTTCTGAGAGTCCTTTTCTCATTTTGCCTTTAACCTTCTACCATATTTTAGATGAAAGCAGCCCTTTAAGAGATCTCACACCTCAAAACCTCAAGGAGAAGGACTTTGAGCTTGTGGTGCTCCTGAATGCCACGGTTGAGTCCACCAGTGCTGTCTGCCAAAGCAGGACTTCCTACGTCCCGGAGGAGATCCACTGGGGCTATGAGTTCGTGCCTGTGGTTTCTCTCTCTCCAAATGGAAAGTATGTTGCTGATTTCAGCCAATTTGAGAAGATCAGGAGATGCACAGATTCTACTTTTTATAGTATGGACTCTGAAAAACAAAAGCTAGAGGAGAGATATAGGCAGGAGGACCAGAGAGAGAGGGAACTGAGAACAATGTTGTTACAGCAGAGCAATGTTTGATTGAATGAACAGACTATCCCGATCAATCCTTTTCCCAAACTGAAAAAGTATCTTTTCTGTGTTGTATGTCTGCTATGAAACCAGCAGTGGAGTCCTTTTCAGTAGATAGCTTTGGTGTAGAGTAAACCTATCCCTTTGTTTGGCTAAGCTGCTAATCAAGTATTTTGTAATTAGGTGGGATTTCTTTGTCCAGTATCTTGACTTAGCAAAGCTGGATTTGTATTAAGTCTCTGCCTTATACCATCAGTAAAAATAGACATACCACTTTCAATTGGAAAGTGAAACTGGATACACTGTGCTGGTTTCTTCAAATATTTATTTGACATGGTTTTACTGTGAACATTCAATCACAGAGACAGCACACAGTGCTGCCAGAAGAAAATATTCTCCTTTAAAATGTATATTCTCATAGCAGGTATTGCCTTAATGGGGATTCCTGGCATTGAAAATAAATTGATGGGAGAGAAAAATGGTTGAATATGGGAAGAGCCCGTAGGAAGGTGATAAACTCCTTTGAATCTTGAAGGAGGGTGGCAGACTAGTTGTGCTGGGAGGTGATGAAGGGAGATCTCTTTCTCTTTGCTACTCGGAACTTGTTTTGTGATCACTCACTTTTTTAACCTTGTTAATGGCTGATTTATATATAATAGCTAAGAAGGGGAGACGAGGGAAAATTACACAAAATCATAACAGTAATCAACTAAGGTTAAAGCTGGCCTTGAGCCATCTGTTTTTTATCCAATGTAAATAGTTTGTAATAGCAGCATAACAATACATTTCTACAGATTGCTTGCTTTGCTATAGACCTTGTTTAATTTTGGTTAAAAGAAAGCTGTATAATGTCTGTAGACAATATTTACTTTTTCTGGCAACCATAAAGGACAAGCATTCCTTTCATCCATTTCATTTTTGGTCTATTAAAACCATTCCATTAATAAAGGAATTTAATTTGAGTAGCTCCTGATTTCTTTGTGGCATAGGGAGAGGGTGTGGTACCCTGGAGATGTTTAAAGAGCTGAATGCTTAGCATACTCAGTTATGTTCAGCATGCAGCAAAGGAACACAGCAGACCACTGAAGTGGTCAGATTATGGGTAGTAAACCAGGTAGCAGTGGTGAACTTGTAACATGCTTACCACATGTAGGTCAGGTTTTTAACGGAAAATTATTTCTGCCTCATATCAGAGAGTCATTTAGCAGCGTTATGCGTTCCAGTGATTTTGCTCTGCTAAAGCTTTGGCAAAGAAAAGTCATATTAAGTATGAGTTTTGGGTCTGTGGGCCAGGTCTTGGCCTGAGAGTCACCAGGGGCTACAGTGATGAAAGGACTTTTGGCATCATTGCACTTACTGTTTCTGTGCCTAACTTCCCGGCACTGTGTGGCTTCATGGAATGCAGCCTTGCAATCTGCAGAACAATATCCTGTACAATAAATGAATTGAGTTGGGTACCTAACAATGCACTCAGCAAGTTGAGCATAGAGCTGCCCATGGCACCAAGAATGAATGCCAAGAATGCGCGTGAGGAGGGGAGATGGCTTAAAATTGTCTTTTTACCTAAATAGTTAGATCCCCTATGTGAGAAGTCAGACATCCAGGTATTTGTCTGAAGAGAGAGACTTAACCTGTAATCCAAGAAAGTTCCCTACCCACCGCAATGCAGAGCTATGTTTCTCAAACCATTGTAATTGCAAGGCCCATCTAGCATTTTTTGAAAGGATTTCCAGGCCATATTATGACATAAAGGTTTTATATATAGAGGACGCTAATGTTTAAATTATCATTTGCTCATTTTTAATTTTCCTTCATTTTGTTTGATTCCTTGCTTCTTTGGAAGGAAGTGGGTATGTTCAGTGAATTTTTACAATCACTTTGTAGAGCTATATGTCCTGTAAAACAAAGAACACTGCCCTGGCATGTTCTGAGGTGAAAATAGGCAGGTGTCTCAATCCTTCCTCTGCCAAGCCTTAGCATCTCTGGTTCCATATTCAAATATTCACTCCAATTCTTTCTTATCCCAGTAAGTGCTCAGATTGTGGTAATATAGAGCTGCTTCTAATGTCGTTCTCTCAGTGGCGTAATGCATGTAAAACAGCTTCACCAAGGGTGAGTGAGTGGGCTCTTCTCTAGGAATATGGTATAGCTCATGAAACAACTCCCTCTGATCGTGTGACTTTACATCCCTCCAAATAAAGAGAGAAATGTCAAATTGCATCTTCCAGGACAGCACTCCATCCATTTCAATAAACTTGTTATTGCACTTTCTTAGTTGTATCTTAAGAAAATCCAGTGCCTTGGGCCCTGCAGGAGACACACTTGTCGAATCCTGGGGACCCTACATATTTCTTGGCTGTTAGGTCTAGGGAGTCCTGTGCATAGCCAGCGGCATCAATGTAGTTGCTGTGGGGACTTTAGTGGCAGCCAATTAGGAGCCTAGGGACCAGGCTGCTCCAGGGTTAGGCAGCTGCTGAGCAGCAATTTTTTAGGATTTTAACTTTTTGAGCTAAGGAAGCAGGTAGTCCCTATATCCCTGTGTACAACAATCCCAGGGTTCATCGTTGGGTTCATTAGGCCATTCCAGTCATTAGATTATCCTGAAGAAAATATCATAAGCAAAAGCCTTGCGGAGAAATAAAGCATCACAGAAGTGATTCTCTCTGAACGTTCAGTCCTACCAGTCTTTAATTTAAAAAGAGAAAAGGAAACAAAAACACTGGAAGTTTTTGGCAAGATGAAGCCAACCTGCATCACACAGTGGGAGGCTGTACAGTAATACAATGCACTGTCACTCACTTCAGCTTCAGAACAGCCTTACTCTGTAATGAGCTATACTTTTCCTTCCTGCTCTTGTGCAAGCATAACTTCCATTGCTCTATCTGCAAGCTAAGGGTAGAGAGCAGAAGTGGCCTCGGTGCAGCATGCCTAGCTGCAGGGTACTGAACAATGATGGAAGAGTGTCATGATGTTGCTCTGCTGTGAATCACCAATGAACCACGACCTCTGGCTGCTTGTGGTCAGCTCTTCTGCTGGTGTAAAACAGCTACAGTGACTTACCTCTGTTGAGGACTCACAGGGTGGAGAACCAGAAAGTCAAACTACCATGGCCACCCCAAAGCTGCCTTAGGAAGGACTGTCTGTCCGTTGGGTGATTTCTGGTGCGAGAGCTTTCTTGTCTCCTGACCACTTGTCCCTTAGTTTTCAGTCACAGAGCACTCGCAGCTCCAGAGGATTTGTGACAGCGGGACATCATGGCTACATGTAGTCTAGCAAACAACCTAGTGTCACAGCACAGGTAGGCTGTCTGCACTGTTCAGTTGGCCCCATTATTGGGGATGAAGGACCTGAGAAGAAGAGAGGAGCACCACAGGATCCCCAGTCAGGCTGGTAGAGGACTGCCCACTGCAGCCAGCACTGCCAGGACGCTAGCACAGTCCCGCCACCTCTGCAGGGTGATCCTGATTACAGAATCACAGAATCGCAGAATCGTTTAGGTTGGAAGGGACCTCTGGAGATCATCTAGTCCAACCTCCCTGCTCAAGCAGGGTCCTCTAGAGCATATTGCCCAGGATCACGTCCAGGCAGGTTTTGAATATCTCCAGCGAAGGAGACTCCACTACCTCTCTGGGCAACCTGTTCCAATGCTTTGTCACCCTCACAGGGAAGAAGTTTTTTCTCAGGTTTAGGTGGAACTTCCTGTGCTTCAGTTTGTGCCCGTTGCCTCTTGTCCTGTCGCTGGGCACCACGGAGAAGAGGCTGGCCTCATCCTCTTGACACTCCCCCTTCAGATACTTGTACACGTTGATGAGATCCCCTCTCAGTCTTCTCTTCTGCAGGCTGAACAGGACCAGCTCTTGCAGTCTTTCTTCATAGGAGAG